TAAGAACACTTGTGGTGCTTTTGAGTTGGAATAAAGGTTGGGTTATGGACGAGTTTGGTGGTATGGGTAGGTTTAAGGGTGGGTTAAGGTGTAAGGGATGGTCAACAGTGTATTTACAAATGTAATTACAAAAGTTAATTACAGATGTAATTACATACATGTATTTAATAAAGCATAAGTACACAGTAAATACATGTATTTACACAATAAGTACATTGTAACAAACTATTAATTCCTGTGTAAGTACATATTAGTTAAGGCCACTTAATATAAAGTGGGACCCAATTTTTTGTTTTACAAAAACATAAAAGGAGACAGTGTATTAGCATCAAAGTACTGTTTTAGTTGAACAGATATATGGTAGAGTGCAAAAATAACTACCAATTTGTGCAAAGTAAAAATAATTTTCTATGGAACAAACAAACGAACAAATGAACAAACGAACGGACGAACAAATGGATAAATGAACAGATGAACAAACAAACGAATAATCAAGTGAGCGAGTGAGTAATTCGATTAATGAGGGAATCAATGTGAAAGTGAAATAACGAGTATGTGAAGGAATGAATGAATGAATCAATCAATCAATGGGTGAATGAAAAAAAATCAATGAATGAGTGAATCAAATGGGCGAAGCAGTGGCGCAGTAGGTGGTGCTGTCGCCTCACAGCAAGAAGGTTGCTGGGTCGCTGGTTCAAGCCTCAGCTCAGTTGGCGTTTCTGTTTGGAGTTTGCATGTTCTACCTGCGTTCGCGTGGGTTTCCTCCGGTTTCCCCCACTGTCCAAAGACATGCATCACAGGTGAATTGGGTAGGCTAAATTGTCCGTAGTGTGAGTGTTTGTGTGTATGGATGTTTCCCAGAGATAGGTTGCAGCTAGAAGGGCATCCGCTGCGTAAAAAACATGCTGGATAAGTTGGCGGTTCATTCCGCTGTGGCAACCCCGGATTAATAAAGGGACTAAGCCGACAAGAAAATGAATGAATGAATTAATCAAATACTGAGTGAGAAAATGAATGAGGGAATAAAGGAATCAATAAGCAAAAGTGTAGGAATCAATGTAAGTTAGTGAGTGAAACAATGAGTGAGTGAATAAATGAGTGAGTGATTGGGTAAAATAATTTATAGTGAAAGAGTCAATATGTGAAAGTGTGTGAATAATCAATGACTGAGTAAGTGAGTGAATAATCAATGAGTGAGTGAGTGAGTGAGTGAGTGAGTGAGTGAGTGAGTGAGTGAGTGATCTATACGGAAAGAAATGTGAGTGAACAAATAAGTAAAACAAGTGAGTGAATGAATAAATCAAACAGTGAATTAAAAATCAATGAGTAAGTAAATAATCAATGAATGAGTGAATGAATGAATTCATGGGTGAAAGTGAAGGAATGAGTGAAAAAGTGAGAATGAGTGAATAATCAATGAGTGAGTGAGTGAGTGAGTGAGTGCGTGAGTGAGTGAGTGAGTGAGTGCGTGAGTGAGTGAGTGAGTGAGTGAGTGAGTGAGTGAGTGAGTGATCTATACGGAAAGAAATGTGAGTGAACAAATAAGTAAAACAAGTGAGTGAAGGAATAAATCAAAGAGTGAATTAAAAATCAATGAGTAAGTAAATAATCAATGAATGAGTGAATGAATGAATTCATGGGTGAAAGTGAAGGAATGAGTGAAAAAGTGAGAATGAGTGAATAATCAATGAGTGAGTGAGTGAGTGAGTGATCTATACAGAAAGAAATGTGAGTGAACAAATAAGTAAAACACGTAAGTGAATGAATAAATCAAAGAGTGAATTAAAAAAATCAACGAGTAAGTAAATAATCAATGAATGAGTGAATGAATGAATTCATGGGTGAAAGTGAAGGAATGAGTGAAAAAGTGAGAATGAGTGAAAAATCAGTGAGTGAGTGAATAAATGAATAAACAAGTGAGTGAAAGAATCAATAAGTGAATGAATAGTCAATGAGTGAAGAAATCATTGAGTGAGTGAGTGAATGAATGAATCAATAAGTGAAAGGGAAGGAATAAAAAAAACTGTGAGTAAATACATGAGCAAACAATTGAGTGAATGAATGAATCAATGAGTGAGAGTTAAAGAATCAATGAGTAAATGAGTGAATAATCAATGAGTGAGTGAATGGATGAATCAATGAGTGAAAGTAAAATAATCAATGAGTAAATGAGTGAATAATCAATGAGTGAGGGAATGAATGAATCAATGAGTGAAAGCGAAGAAATCAATGTGAGTAAAAAAATCAATAAGTAAATACATAAGTAAACAAGTGAGTGTTTGAATGAATCAATGACTGAGAGTGGAAGAATCAGAATGTGAGAGAGTGAGTGAACAATCAATAAGTGAGGGAATAATTGATGAGTGAGTGAATAATCAAAAAGTAAGTAAATAAATGAGTGACAACAAATATAAGAATCTAATATACACAAAAAGTTAAGTCAGACATTTATTCAAACCAATTCCCTACCATCAGAATACTGTATTAAAAGAACTTACTGATTATTTACACACTGTTTCACTAACTCTTTCTGCACTGTGAAAAATCTTTTTAAGATTTAATTTTATTAACTGAAGAACAAAAGGGATGAAAGAGCTTTACCGTTCATTATCCATTGTGCTTTACTTGTTTTCAGGCTAGAATATTCGATTAAGCTCAAGATTCAATCCCCATTAAACTCCCACTGATACAATTCCTAAATTTACCTTAAGACAATTTGGATAAAAATTGCCTCTCTATTCAATACCTAAAGCTTAATTGCTGATTACAATTCATGACAGTTTCCAATTCCATCAAGATAATATTGATTATTCTACTATCAAGAAAACATTTCCTTTTTTGTTAAGAGGCTAAGACATCAAATAGCCATTATGTGTCTGGTAAACAACATTAGAGCTTAATTATGTTACTCCAAGCTCCAGGATATTGGCAACTTGTGCCCTGCTGTTTTCCTTCAGTCTTTAATCCCCAGTTGTGGTCACTATATGTCCTTCATTGGTCCGGACAAGGAAAGGAACTTGTAATTCAATCCTCATGCATATATAGAGTGTGTTACAGGCCCGGCGCTACGGGGGGGCAAAGGGTGGCATTGCCCCCTCAGACAGAGTTTGTGCCCCCCCAGTTTTTATAAAGGATTGTTCACTCAAACTGAAAATTCTTTCTGTCATTAATTATTAACACTCCCGTCCTTCCAACCTTCAGAACACACATTTAAATATTTTAAAATATATGACATAGCAATTAAATTATGAAAATGGTGAGGTTAAAGCTAGTCCTATAGTCCAGAGATCCGGTCCCCGCGTCAGGTCTGGTGCGCCCGTAAATAGCCTTTAAAACGCGCACACGGCGATGGAGGCGCACTCAACTCACAAGGGAGAAAATGGGTGACATGATAGGAGCAGCTTAATTCATTACATGTTTTGGTTAACTAATTATTTAAACACAACTCTCTTGAGCTCTAAAAGGAAAAAACACATAAGAAATTTGCTGTTAAATTAATTTTAGCAGAGACGCAACTGCCAGTCATTTATTAGTTATTCGGGAAGATGTAGCCTAATAAAAATGTTTTAATAAAAATAAATAGTTTACTGCACAGTCCCACAGTAGGCTACACTATAAATAATATAATATTTTAATTTATTTATTAATATTATTATTAATATTATTACAATTAAGCTAAAATTGACAAAACGCAGAACCCTTTGAATGTTTGCTTTCATTTTGCTGAAAAGTGCACTTTTACAGTTGCGTAGAGAAACATCCCATTATGCAACTGCAGTCAAGGTATAACACATAATAAATGCATTTTGCGTTTAAAGATGATCGGCCTGCGAAGTCAAGTTTGCAGTGTTATAAATGGAATAGGTATAGTGCTTAAGTGGATTTACCGCGGATCAACCGAGAAATCTCGTGCGCTGCAGGTAGGCAGAATGATAATCTTTTAAAAGTATGTAACTTAGGCTATACTGCTATTTGCTCATGCAAAATTAAACAACATAAAATATATTGTAGATCTGTTTTGAGAGCTAAAATACAACACATCGAGTTTGTTTTGAATTAGCTCATGGCCCTAAAATGAAAATAACCTGAAAACAAGCTATTAAAAAAGGCCTAATAAATAAAATAATTAATAAATAAAATGACGGGTAGGCCTAGAAACTATGGTACATATGGTTTATGATGGTTTACTATATCACGAAAAAAGCACATTTATAATAGCCTTAGACAAATCTTTGTTTTTACATTTAAAATGATGAAAAAAAAAGTTATACAGCATATAAAAATTTAACCAATTTTCACGGTAATAACTGTGAATTTTTGTATCTTTTTTAGGTATTTTTCTGGCTACACTAATGCCTTAAAATGTAACTAAGTAATTGTTTTGAATGACATTAGATTGTCACATTTAGCTTTTCCCCAACACTGATGTTGGTTGTGAAGCGTGATGACTCGGTTAAGCTGATTTCACTATATTTATTTACCGGTTAAATGAATTGTCTGATCGTGGGTCAGCTTGCATGTGTGGGCATAATTTGACGTCTTTACCTAAAACTTTAAACATTCATAGGGCTGTTATTTGAAATAAAACGGAAATAAGGAGAATAACATATGATTTAAAGCACTCGTTTGGCACTGAAGCCACCATCAGTCTGCATTAATAAGCGGTATGCATTACCATCGTTAATAAAATTCGTAATAGCGAAACTGCGTATTGTTATTACTATTAAAACGTAGCCTATATTACTGCCTTAGGTCAGTAACTTAGGCAGTAATGCAAAGTAATAATAAATGCGAATAAATAGCCTAAATGAAAGAAACAAGAGACCAAAATCAGTCACCAGGTCTAGTGCCCCCCTATGGATTTAAAGTGCCCCCTCAGTTTTGACTTCCTGGCGCCGGGCCTGGTGTGTTATATGGAGTCTTGTGTCGGGCCTTTCTGTTTCAGTTCATAACAGTGGGCTATAACTCACAGAGACAGACCCCTGAACCCGAGCACTGACCTGCATCTGGACAGCATCTGAGGTCAGTCCAACAAGTGCTGAGCCATCTGTGCAGATCTCCACTTGCCCTCTAAATCTGAAGTACAGAGCAAAAAAAAAGAAGAAAGGATAGGATAGGATAGAGGACAAAAAAAAGGGAAAGAAATGCAACATGAAGACATGGAAGAAGAGCAGAGAGTGTTTATAAACAAGCAGTGGATTTATTTACATTACTTATGAATCCAAAATTTTTTTTTATTTTTTTAAATCCTGCACTTTTCTTGTGCACAGATGTGCTTCAAATGCTTTGAAAGCACAATTAGTCCTGTTGCACACAAAAATATAGAGGACTATAAAACATGTGCTGGATAAGCTGGGGCTTTATTCCGCTGTGGCAACCCCTGATTAATAAAGAGACTGAGCTGAAAAAAAAAAAATTAAGGAATGAATGAATAAATTGCTCATATTTATATATAAGAATATGAGCAATATCACCCAAATAGCAGTGCGATGTGGCTGTATATTGGCACTAGTGGGAGCCGTGCATTGGCACGTACAGCCACATTGAACTTCTACACGTGCAGTTCGATGGCATAATCGTGTTTATAAAAATAAAATTAAATACGGAGTCTAAAAAAACTTTTGAACGAGGAACTACTTTCTTCTGTCATTCATTCACATCTGCAGCTGACGTAAAAACAGCAGAAGCCATTACTAATTCACCAACATCATTTTAGAGATAGTGTTTGAATGATTCTCTAGCATAATGTTTTAAGTGATGACAAAACAGGTGATTTTGTTGACATTTTAAGATTTAAGACATTTAAGACTGTATTTCATGCAGTTATTTTAAAGAAAATAACTGCATGAAATACTATCAATCTACAGAGATATCTCCCAGTATTTCTCTGTTGCAGTTGGGAGATCACAATATTACCAGTGCTTAATTTGTGAATTGTGACGTCCTGGAACAGATCAGGGTAACGGATCCAGCATGTTAAATTTTGTATGTTGAAATTTTGATTATTAGCTTTTGACTGTATACCAAAACTCAACACCCATTTAATTTGGGTAGTTTTAAGTAAGTGACAAAAATAAAACATCCAAAAAAAAAAAAAAAAGTTTTATAATTCAATCTAATAAAAAACTTTGTCCTTTAAATTAATAAGAAAAGTTTCAAATGAACTGAATTAACAAAAAGTAATGAAAAAAATTTAAAAGTTATTTGAAAGTTATTTCTTTCAATTTCTAATGTTTACAACTTGTCCTGCTATATATAAAAATATAAAAGAAAATTTATACAATAAACTAATATATAAATAATATCAAAATAATATAAATATATATTTATTTTTACAATGACAAAACTTACAATGAGTGGCACTCCAAAAACAGTGAAAATAAACAACAATGACACAATTTTGTATGTTTAAATTTAGATTATTAGCTTTTAAAGACAACTGTATACCAAAACTCAACACATCTCTAATTTGTGTAGTTTTAAGTGACAAAAATAAAGCATAAAAACTAAACAAAACTAAATTTTATTTAGCATTGTTTTATAATTTTACTTGTAAATCAAATAATGTTCTTTAAAATAGAGAAAAGTTACAAAAAAAATGGATCACAAATCTAAACTAAAATTAAAGTTATTTCTTTTAATTTCTAAGATTTTCATAATTATTTGGAGCATGCCAGATGTGTCATTTTCAGCCTGATCTCACAAAGAAACATACCTTTTTTATGTTTCGTCAATATAGCGGCTAATTCGTACGAACTTGTACAAGTTCAGTCATACGAAAATGTACAATTTTAAAAAGGAGGAGTGGCACCAAACCCCATCTCTAAACCAATGAGCAAATCATACTAAACCAGGGGTGCCCAAACTTTTTCATATAAAGGGCCAAAAACCAAATATTGAGAGTCGTGGGGCAAAGGTAAACATACAAAACTATATTACATTAAAGTTGCCATGGGTAATTTCCTAATTTACTTAATTATATTTTAAAATAAACAGAAACATTACTTTAAATGACATAACCTAATGCAGTATAACTAATGCAGTATAACTAAATTATAACTTAATGCAATAAAAACATAAACAATCACATTTATAACAGTGGAGTTCAATCCTGAACACATTAGTCAAGCAGAATCTGCCTTTGACTTGATTTGCTCAACAAACTCTCTGCATTGCTGGGCGACAGTATGTGTATTTAAACAAAATCAGATTAATTTAAGCCATTTAATTGAAACACTTAATTTTAGTTAGCTTTTAACAATAAAACATCAAACCATCCCCATAATTCTCCTTCTGGAATGGCTGGCCAAACCATGTGCCCTAGTTTGGGCATCACTGTACTAAACTGATCATACGAATTCATATGACTTAGCCCCTAAATAAAAAATTATTATGAACTGCCATGAGGTTGTGTTGGTATTTTTAGGTAGTTACAACAATATCGAACAAAATCAAGCAAAATAGAATATAAATTGTTATCTTAATATGTATTTAGCCAAATCAGTTACTTAACTTTTTCAAAGTGAAACATTAGAAAAAAAAAAGAAAATGAACAAAAGCAAGAGATAGATTTTGACACATCTAAGTAAAACTTGAAAGATGTGTTTGCCCTTTAGGGAAAATCTGATTCGGAGACAGTTTCTACACACCCTTTGATTGTGTGATGGTCAATGGCACATGAAAGACTAAAAAAACATCCTACAGACAAAATGTACGCCTACATTTAAAGGGCAGAGAAATCCAGGTGCCCTACTGAGACAAGGACACTTAAAAGAGCTGCAGAAGCGGCCCTGGGGTCCGAAATCTGTGCACAGGATGAGGTCGATCACTACAGGAAATAAACAACCGCATAACAGCAGAGGGAAATGTTTAACTCCGGAGTGAGGGATGAAAAAGAGAGAGAGGCGTTAATCAAACGACAAGGATGTTTGGCTGAGCAGCTGTGATAGGAGGAGGATAGAAGACATCGGGAAGAGATAATGAACAACAGATCGGCCCCGGGGCGGCCTCAGGTGCACTTATCAGGATCTTAACTCTCATGCTATTTGGAAGAAAGCATAAATGCGATCCTGCTGATGCTAGTCTCCAGAAAAGACTTTTAATTAATATGAATTTAAATGTAATGACTAGACACATTACAACTTACATTAAAATTAAAGACAGTTGAAGTCAGAATCATTAGCCCTCCTGAATTATTAACTCCCTGTAAAATTTTTCCAATTTTTGTTTAACAGATACATTTTTTTTCAACACATTTCTAAATATAATAGTTTTAATAACTCATTTCTAATAAATGATATATTTTGCCATGATGACAGAAATTATGTTCCAAGTTTCAGAAAAAAGTAAAAGTTTGTTTTCACAGTTCTTGCGGCTCCTATAAATGAGACCAAATTATTCATTTATTCGTTAATTTTCCTTCGGCTTACAGTTGTCCCTTTGTTTATCAGGGGTCGCCACAGCTGAATGAACCGCCAACTTATACAGCATATGTTTTACGTGGCGGATGCCTTTCCAGCTGCAACCCAGTACTGGGAAACATTCATACACACTCATTAACACACATACTCTACGGCCAATTTAGTTTATTCAATTCACCTATAGCTCTTGTCTTTAGACTGTGGGGGAAACAGGAGCATCCGGAGGAAATCAACATGGGGTGAACATGCAAACTCCGCACAGAAATGCCAACTGGCCCAGCCAGGACTTGAACCAACGACCTTCTTGCTGTGAGGCGACATTGCTAATCACTGAACCACTGTGTCGCCCAGAAATCGAAACATAAAAAGTAGCATAAAACTAGCTGTTATTTTGGCTAAGTTAAAAAATTAATTGCTCCAAGTGTTTTTTTTTTTTATTTTCACATTCAATGCTTTATGTTGCACAACAAATGTGTTACGTGGACACTAGTACACACACACACACACACACACACACACACACACACACACACACACACACACACACACACACACACACACACACACACACACACACACACACACACACACAAACAAACAAAAACCCGAAGAACTAAATTATGCTCACACAGAATGTGTTTGTAATGTAAATTTAATGGTCAGATGACGCACTACAACTAACCATCAAATTACCTAATCTGTTACATCCAGCAAGGGGGATAAAGAGATGGAAATTGGTGCAAACGCTCTTCGTTTTTATATTTAGTGTCACATAATCAAAGGCAAATGTGCTTTGCAATTTAAAAACAATTATTTGCATATACAAAAAGGCAAGACTAAATGATTCTCATAAAAAGGGGGCTTGTAATGTAAATTTAATGACTAGACAACAACCTATTGTGAAGTTATGAAATTAAGCAGGGGGTTAATAGGCTCGAAGGACTGAAAATGCTTTCCACTTTTTACAGTGTATTGCAAGGTAAACATACCATTTATAATCAGTTATTTAGTCCCAGAACTATTTTAATCACTGCAAAAAAAAAAAAAAAAGTTTGTCTTGGAGTTTCTGACTTGTTTTTAGTCATATATATATATATATATATATATATATATATATATATATATATATATATATATATATATTAGGGATGAAACGGTTCACAAAAATTACGGTTCGATTCGACACAGTGGTGTCACAGTTCGGTACGTTTCGATACAGCAAAAAAAGCCAGAGGATTTCTCTGATGGAACTTTTTATTGTATTAAAACTAACATCATAAAAGTTTGACCTGTTTTTTTTTTTTTTTTTTTTACTTTAAACAGTGATAGAGCTATACTCCCGGGGTTTCTGCTTAGCAGCAAATAAAACAAATCCTTCTTTACACTCAAAACCAAAAAGCTGCTCATAAAATATATATATATATATATATATATATATATATATATATATATATATATATATATATATATATATATATATATATATATAATATTGTAGCAGTAAACAAAAAAAGAACAATTTACTTTTTATATGGAACTCAGTTTCAATCAATTTTTAAGTATTTTTTTATTTTCAGAAATTTTCAGAAAGATGAGTGTCCACCTTTTCCTCAGACAGCACAGATCTGCTTGATTTGACTCATTGTCACCTGCCATTTTATTG